TGCAGTGAAGAAACATCAAATGCAAACACGAGAGCACATCAGCTGTGACAGCAGCAGGATGTGGAGGTGACTGAAGTAGGAAGGACACAGACTTGTACTGATGTGATTGGATCAGGGCCGGGTAAAGCAGGGGTAGTGATAAGCAATTTAGTGATGTTGGGCTGTGTCCACAACAAAACAAACCTGCAACTGGGCACCTTGCCCATGGCAAGTCATTAAACGTCTTACACCACTGATGCCAAGTCTGGGTGCCATGCTTTATGTCTTCAGACACTTGACCATCTTGGAGCATTGCTTTCTAGCTGGCTGCCTTGGTACTATCTCCCACCTACATGAAGAGCTGGTTCTTCATCGTGATGTGAACCCAAGAGTGGGTTTTGGGGGTGCGGGGCGTGGGTTGGTGATATTAGCTGTAATGACTCCTTGCCCATTTTGAAAATAACATCTGCAGTTAATTTTTGGAATGAACACTGCACTTTGCCTTTGGGAGGAGTGGGTAGTTTTTAAATAATGTTGTTTCTGCCCCAATTCTCCTTCTCCTCGCTTGAAAACAGCCTCCACCTCCCAGTGAGAGAAACAATCGTACCATTCATTTCACTGAAAGTTCAAATTCATTCTCTTCCTTTCAAGTGTCTAAAGTCTCTCATTATAACTCAGAACTTTGTATCCAGCAAGTTGAATACCTCCAATTTGTCTGAATGACCAGAGATAATGTCTTATTCAAGTGTGTACAGTTTGACTCCACACCCTCCGATTTAATCCAACTATTTGGCAGCAATTTTTAACAAGTTGTTAACTTCCTTGCTGCTGCATTGTCTTGTGTGAGAATGTTTAGTGTCTTTTGAGCTCCCAAGCTTTCTCTTAGCCTCATCCATCAGTATTTCAAAACCATTCAGGGTTTGTGAAATGTAAGCATGTGTGTATGTGTGTGAGTGCGTTTGTAGGACTGTGTGGATGTGTGGGAGTCTGTGGTAGTGTTTATGGGAGAGGGTGGGTCATACAGTCATACGACACAGAAACAGACCCTTTGGCCTAACTTATCTATGCCAACCAGGTTTCCTAAACTGAACTAGTCCCATTTGTCTGCATTTCGCCCCATATCCATCTAAACCTTTCCTATCCATGTACCTGTTCAAATATCTTTTAAATCTTGTAATCATACTGCCTCTACCACTTCCTCTGGCAGCTTGTTCCATTTAAGCACCACCCTCTGCATGAAACAATTGCCCCTCAGGTCCCTTTGAATCCTTTCTCTCTCACCTTAAACCTATGCCCTCTAGTTTTTGACTCCCCTACCTTGAAGAAAAGACCTTGGCTATTCAGTGTATCTATGCCCCTCATTATTTTGTAAACCTCTATGATCACCCCTCAGCATCTTATATTCTTGGGGGAGAAAGTCGCAGGCTATCCAGCCCCTCCTTATAACTCAAACCTTCCAATCTCAGTAATATTATTGTGAATCATTTTTTCACCCTTTCCAGTTTAATAATATCCTTCCTATAGCAGGGCAACCAGAATTCTATGTAGTACTCCAAATATAGCCTTATAAACTTTGCATTTATCTGAATTAAATTCCATCTGCCATTCCTCGGCTCTTTGGCCCAGCTGCTTAAGGTCCTGTTGTACTCAGAGATAATCTTCTTTACTGTCCACTGTACCACCAATTTTGGTGATATCCACAAACTTACTAACCATTCTTCCTATATTCTCATTCAAATCGTTTATATGAATGACAAACAACAGTGGACCCAGCACCAATCCCTGTGGCACACTGCTGGTCACAGGCCTACAGTCCGAATAACAACCCTCCACCATTACCCTCTGTCTCCTACCATCGAGCCAATTTTGTATCCAATTGGCTAGCTCTCCCTAGATCCCATGTGATCTAATTTTACTAACCAGTCTACCATCATTTATATTCGTGGTCACCTCTTCAAAAAAACTCAATCAAGTTTTTGAGACATGATTTCTCATGCACAAAGACATGCTGACTATCCCTAATCAGTCCTTGCCTTTCCAAATGCATGTAGATCCTGTCTCTCAGAATCTATTCTAACATTTTACCCACTACTGATGTTAGGCTCACTGGTCTGTAGTTCCCTGGCTTTTCCTTGCAACCTTTCTTAAATAATGGCACATCATTAGCCACCCTCCAGTCTTTTGGCATATCACCTGTGGCTGTCAATGATACAAATATCTCTGTCAAGTGCCCTGCATTTTTTCCCTAGTTTCCCACAATGACCTGGGATACATTTGATCAAGTCCCAGGGATTTATTCACCTTTATGCTTATGTCCTAATCTCTATTTGACAAAAAAGGTGGGTTGGGTAGCCGAAACCTTTGCTGCAGGAAATCAGAGGACCACTTATCATAGAATCCTTACTGCGTGGAAGCAAGCCATTGAGTCACACTGACCCTCCAAATAGCATCCCACTCAGACCCATTCCCCCTACCCTATCCTTGTAACCCTACATATCCCATGGCACACCCTTAGACACTATGGACATTTTAGCATGGCCAATCCATCTAATCTGTACATCTTTGGACTGTGGGAGGAAACCCACACAGGCACCTGAGGCTGGAATTGAACCCAGATTGCTGTGCTGTGAGGCAGCAGTGCTAACCACTGATCCACTGTGTGGCCGTGTAAGGGCATGTAAGCACACAACAAGTTAGACGGCCCATACTGATAGAGAGTATGTGTGAGTGCATATCTGGGAGGGTGTGTGAGAGAGAGTGGGTGTGGGTTTTGTGGTGCGGGTGAGAGAGAGTGGGTGCGGTTGAGAGAGTGTGGGTGTGGGTGTTGCAGGTGAGAGAGAGAGTGGGTGTGAGTGTTGCTGAAGCGGGTGAGAGGGAGTGGGTG